GTAGTCCCAGAGACACAGCGTGGTTTCTGAAATATTGCTAGTTGACCCACGCTTGACGAAAGGTTTGACGGAAAAAGGGTGGGTGTTATGAGATAGAAGGCGAGACAGCTTTTGAGTATCAGACAGATGGTAGGAATTCCTGTAACTTGTTGTGACTATATGAGACGAAGATTCTGTAGAAAATGAAATGTAAGTTCCCGATGCACTTTGAAACCTAATTTTACTTGCGAAATACGTCGTAAACCGTAAACAGAGGGTAAAAGAGGCAGAAACAGCAGTAGAGAAACAGAATAATTTTGATGCAGGAAAATATCCAACAATACAGGCGACGAGGAAAGGAAGCCGCGTCGGGACTATTATCTGTCGGACCATTCCATAGAGAGATGTCTAGAGACCATAGAGAAGGACCTGGCCAACTTGAGCGCGTCAGATTAGGCTGAAGATCTTGAACGTATTTCGGTAAGATGTTGGTGGCATCCAGTGATAGGGGATCGCCACAAGAGCCTGGTATTCGGAGCCTTTGATTAGCTTTAGAAAGATGACTTTCAACGCTTCCAGATCCTGTTAGCTTGGGCGAGCTGGTGGAGGTGTTCATGTTGAACGTTGAAGTTTGAGCCCCGCGCGCTTATTGGGCGCTAGGCATCCGTAGGCAGACTCAACCTCGGCAAGCGAGCTTAATTGGCGCTTTCTTCTGAGCACAGGCAATCATCTATGTCGAATTTAGGTCGAATTCTGGATGGCATCCAAGTAGCATCGTGATAGTACTACTCATGCGTCCAATCCGGCGCCTGTATCCGTCTCAAAAACGGTGTTGAAAGTGTAGCTGGTAATGATAATAAACAGACACAGAGCTTGCACAGAGCAATTTACATTCGGATGAACTTTGTCTATTGAATGAACTTTTCGGTTACAACGATGAGAAAGAAAACCTACCTATCAGTTGCATGCCAACATCATTAGGTGGAGGGAACAGGTGGTCCACAGCTCCTTGGACAGTGTTGTTGCAGTCAATGCATGTACATGAGCAATGAACAATGATAGAAGACCATAGGGAAGGCCAAAAAATTGTGATTCAGAACTCTCTCTGCGCAAGCACTCAGCACAAAGCACCATGAGCACAGGAAACATTCATATGGATTCAACAGAGAGAAAAGGAAAGATACAATAATATGCAATAATTATGACCAAGTACAACTTTGAGGTAAAAGATTCATTTGTCTGTGTCCACATCTTGAGGAGGAGGAAACAGCATGTCCAATGCTGATATACAATCTGGATAGAATGTATCTAAGGCATTGAAACCAGATGGAGACAGAATGTGTGTTGGTGCATAGAGCTGCTGCTCCACAGAAGTTGGCACAGGATGTGCACTTTGGTTACAAAGGGGTGCATGGAGGAGAGACATCACTTTCGACACAACAGCTAGTTCAATGAGCCCACAGATATCACTAGCAGTGATAGAGCTGGTGATCAAAGAGTCGCTGTCTGCCAACAATTGTGCACGGATGCGGAGGAAGAGGTGTTCACGGACCTCACGTGAAAACAGGCCGCGGTTAACAAGGCCTTGGACTCCCTTTACCAGGCCTGTAGCACAGAGCTCTTCATAGTGTAAGCTCAAGAACTGGGCACAAGGAAGTTCATCAAAGATGATGTTGTCGTTAGGATTCGTTCGACCAAAGCATCAGCGTCTGTTGAAAAACAGTGTCAGCAGTGGATGGTAAAGTCTAAAAAGAACACACCATCTGCAAGTCTTTGAGCGACTTCATAACAAGCGAAAACTGTTCGCTGTTTAGCAAACTCTTGTTTCAGCTCCTTCACATCCTTCTCTAATTGCGAGATTCGGTCTTTGGATTACTAGCGAAATTTTGAGTATATAGTTTCTGAGTCGAATAAGGGACTAGACGTACATAAAGGCGTGATCGCGGTGATAGAGGGTGGACCAAAGAGTAGTTCACGTGACCGCGAGTGGTACGCTGAACTTCATAGGAACTTATCGGGGATGAATCCGCATACTCGTCGAGGACGTCTACGCTGTCAGTGGGAATTGTAGTCGAGGGCGAGGGATGAGCTTGGTATACGCTAAAAGGAGAGCCATCTACACGGTTGATTCGTAACATGAAGGGAAACGACAAAGGAGAGTTGATGACCTCATAATCACCTCGGCGCTTGGGCACCACACATTAGCGCCAGCTTGTGCAGAACAACTCCCGTTTCCGACAGCTCTCAGTCATTCAAGCAACCTTTGGATACATAAGACCGTCTATATATTTCACGAAAAAACAACAGAGCTGTGGAACCTACTTCCGAATTGTCCCCGATGTTTTTTGACTTCTCATAGTTCATACGCTCTGATACACCGAGTGAACGAACTTCGATGGCCAGTGACTCTCGATGGCATCGTCCTACTATATACTACACCTCAGGTAGTGCTTGTCCAAATGACCATGTACCTGCCAAGCTCTCCGACTACCCTTTCTTTTTTTAGCTCATTTTCTGCGACAATGTTCCGCTTTCAACACTGTTAAAAGCAAGACGGGGAATTCTCCAGCGACACGCTTAATTGCGACAACCAATTACCATGCTTAGCTCGTTCATTTCGCTGTTGGCTCTCGTCTCCATTGCCGCTGCTCAGTCGTCAGAATTCGGACAGTGTACGCGTCTCTTGCCCCCAGATTCTTTTCTTTCCTAACGTCGGTTCTTCTGTAGGCGGAGGGATAGGCTGGTCTGGTCCAACGGTCAGTGTCTAGTCTCCCTACAGAGTAATTTGCTACTAATATGAAATTATAGACATGTGTAGCTGGGTAGGCATCTTTTTCACATAGATATCGATATACACTGACCATCCTACAGTAACGTCTGTGAAGAGTTAAACCCATACTTCTTCCAGTGTCTTCCCGTAAGTAGCGTCCTCTGGATGTCCCGAAATCTCCATTCTCATATTACGACTAGTCTACAACCACCGGCTCAGGGGAAGTGGCGGCACAGGCACCTCTACTGCTCCTCTCCCCACTGGAACCTCAACCGCAAAAACTAACACAGTCGCTAAAGCTGCTGGAAAGAAATACTTTGGATCTGCCACAGACAACCCAGAATTCACTGACGCGCCTTACGTTGCAATGCTCAGCAACAACGCCTTTTTCGGCCAGATCACACCTGGGAATAGCATGAAATGGGTGAGAATACCTTTGTCGTTCCGTTTGCAAAAGTAACTTATTTATTGGGATAGGATGCAACGGAGCCTGAACAGGGCACTTTTACGTTTTCAGGAGGTGATGCAGTCGTGGCTTTAGCCCAAGGAAACTCGCAGTTGCTTCGAGGTTTGTTATGCGACCAATGCTGAACTGTTTGCTGACAAGGTGCTTTGCAGGACACAACTGTGTTTGGTATAACCAGCTTCCTAGCTGGGTAACTAGCGACGTCTGGACTAACGCAACCTTGACTGCTGTTGTGCAAAACCACTGCGGTACCTTGGTCTCTCACTACGCGGGGGATATGTAAGTTCTTCCATTATCTTTCTTTGTAGTTCTTCGGTGCTGATGCGTCTCAAGTTGTACGTTTTTCATCGTCAAGCATGTTCTTTAAGTTGATCGCTCTCTGCAGACGCTTGGGACATCATCAACGGTATGTTTATCAATTTCAGCTGAACGACAACTAAATTACCCCTTTTCTAAGAACCTTTCAATGACGACGGTACTTGGCGACAGGACGTGTTCTTCAACACAATGGGTTCATCTTTCGTGGATGTTGCTCTTATTGCTGCTCGTGCTGCTGACCCCAACGCAAAACTTTACGTGGGTCGACCTCATTCTGGGTTGAATTTTTCCTGAGTCCTGATTTTTGCATCTATAGATCAACGACTACAATATTGAGTCTACTGGTCAATATCCCATCGGCAGGCCCGAATATCTACTAACAAATAGATGCGCATATAGGTGCAAAATCAGCTGCGATGCTGCAACTCGTTTCGGACCTCAAATCTCGCGGCGTTCCCATCGACGGTGTGGGCTTCGAATCTCATTTCATCGTTGGCGAAGTCCCCTCTACGATTCAACAGACTATGGAGCAATTTGTGGCATTGGGCGTTGAAGTCGCTGTTACAGAGCTCGACATCCGAATGACGCTACCTGAAACGGATGCACTCCTAGCCCAACAAAAAACAGATTATACGACCGTTATTTCCGCGTGTAACGCTGTTCCGGGCTGTGTCGGGGTAAGCTGTCATTTCTCTTTCAAGGTTACTAGGGCTTTGGATATTAATGTGTTCCATGGCTAGGTAACGATTTGGGACTAGTATGTCGTTTCCTTTCTTTGTGCGCTATATTTACTGAGTTGACATCGAACGATTAGCACTGATAAGGTATGATCCTCTTGGCTCTCTCAGAATATATCAACTGACCAAAGTCACTAGTTCTCTTGGATCCCTGGTATGTTCCTACAAGTTGTCTTATTCTCACTTATCTGACATTTTGGACCTGATTCATAGGTACATTCCAGGAATGGGAGCAGCGTGTCCTTGGGATGATGTAACTCCTTTCAAGCGTTATAGTTACTCTTGTTTTCTGACCGCATTGTCCGTTTAGAACTTGATAAGTAAACCAGCCTACGACGGTATCATCGCTGGCTTTGCGTAGACGGAGATGGGATAAATTGTCTCATCCTACTAGTTTAACGTTTTGGGTTTGGTTGTATTTTTTCGAGCCTATGAGAAGTGTTTAAAAAACTGGTGTTGATGTTCTGCTCACAATTCACTATTTCAACGCTGTCAGACTCAAACTTCGGTTATGGCTCTTCTCAGCGTACAATTATTTTCAAGTACTTAGATGCATACTCATCTGCACTTTCTTTTTCTGGGTGCTGCTAGTGCCTTTCACTTGATTGTTGACATCTTCGGTAGGGACAGCCGCGTCGAACTGGCAGTTGATCTCTTTGCGCGAGAAACTCAGGAATTTATTTATTTTGGAAAACAGGAACTATGAAAAAACTAAAGAGCGTTGCCATATTGCTCCCTGCAAGGCTCGAACTTGCGACCTCCAGATTAAGCAGTGCAACACTACTCGACTATGAGACTGGCGCTCTACCGACTGAGCTAAGGAAGCGATAGTTATGAGACCAGGTTTATGGCTAAGGTTTATGGCTATTCTACCATGTACCTACTTTTGTGCGTTCGAAATGGTTTTAAGCAACTGATCTGAATCTCTGGCTAGATTCGCTCTACTTTATAACTTTATATTCTTCGCCAACGTTGGCATCTTCACAGCCGTGATCAACATTCCAGACGCGTATTAGTCGAACTGAGAGGGTAAAAACGACAGGGACTATCGTTGTGCGGAGATGATAGCGCTGGTCCTTGAACGGGCAGGTGCTGAGGGAGGAGACAAGGAAGATTTACAAAATGTCAAGGTCACCCAATCAAGTATTGCATTATGCCGAGTATTAGGTTTGGGGTGTACAGCGATATTGGCTACAAGACGCTCGCGGCACTGAATTCCTCGGCACGTATGGGTTTTTCGTCCCTCCGACGTGAGGACTTTGGTGCCAAGTTTCAAGATGCCCCTTTAAGCTTTAGGATCCTGTCGTATAGTATTGTTGAGGGATTGTATGGTGAGTAGTCCGCGGCGAGATAGCGAAATGTAGCATCCGATACCTGATGTTTTCTTAGCATCACGAACGGTAACACAGCAAAACACGTACATTCTGTAGCCCAGAGTACTAGATTGTCCTTTCAACTATTCTCTGCGGCAGAGCATGATCCCTCGAGTCGATTTTACGAACCAGCATCACCATTGCTGTTTCATTTGATTCTGGATCCAAGATGTTAGAAGAAAGGGTAGATATGCTGTAGCCTGTCGTACATATTCTTTGAGGTGTGTGGAAATGCATTACTTAGCATCTGATAGAGAGGCATGGAAGTTGGAAACAGAGATGGTTTCGCCCACGTGACAATGAGCGATCGAATTAACTCTCGAAGCTTGAAGTTGAAGCTAACTAAGTACGTCGAAGCGCGAATCGCGCCCTTTGAAGTGAATTGACCGTTGCACAACAAGAGTTCAACAGCGGCAGCCGCTTGCTATGGATATCGCATGAACCAGCATCGTATGGGATCGTACTGTACACATTGAAACAAATTATATAAACGTGACAGATATATACTGTAGGCGATAACTTGAATGATAAAAAAGCTCTAGAAGCAAGGCCAAAGTCCTCAATTAAATCGCGAAGGACGTATATATAGAAAACAGAACGAAAGCAAAGACAAGATAGCAGAGAGTAGTGGTTGGGCGGGGCAGGGAGGCGGATTGGAACGTGTGTGTGATATCACTTGAGAAGCGATGGCGGCCAGAAGAAGGATTCCGGCTTCAAGCTCAGGCTCGGCTGGCTATACAAAGGCATCGGAAGTGCTTGGTCCTCCCTTCACATAATGCGACTGCGAACGGAAGCGGCGGGACTCTGGCTGCCAGCGACACGAGAGTTCCGCAAGCTCTGGCCATAGTAAGCTCTTTTGGCCTCGGTGACACTGGCTGGAGTGTTGCTGCGATCTCCAGAGCTGAAGATCAGCAGAACTGAAATAATCACTGTGCGATACATCCATGAGTTTAAGGAAGTGAATAATAGGGCAAGCATCGCACCAAGAAAAACAGTGAAAACTATGAGAGCAGAGAGCACAGCGAACCCAAAGACGGATATAATGTCGTTGTCATTATCGATAGAGAACCAGTCCTTCAATAACTGTCGGACGACAGATATCGATGAACTTGGTGAGGATGGCATGGGAGCTCAATGGTCCAAAACAAAGTACGCCAGATTGAATTTATACTTGTGTCGGGACCCGATATGACTCTTGCCTCTTGCTGTGCAAATTGCGGAAAACGTCTGACGTAGAATTCCTGCCGAGCTTAGTTCCATATATAGCAAGGTCCATAGAGGAAATAACCATATGTTCTGATACTGTTAAAAGCTATGCAGGCCTATCAAGTGTACGACTTCTCGAGAATTACCGTGCGAGACTGCTGTCCAGTGTCCGGGTACAAGGAAAGAGACCGTGAGCGCCAAAAAAATTGGCGCTCGGCTCACAAGCTCTAGTAACTTAATGCAAGAACTTGTTTCATCATCTTCGTTATTCTCTTATTTATCTGAATAATTTATACAGCATTCGTTTCGGCGATACTCCAAAATTGCCCTTTCAATCTTCCAAAAACAAATCGAACGCGACGCACAGATCTCGGGCGGAAACCAGACCGGGATTCCAAACCTTAGCAAATGGTGGAATTCTTTCATCCTTACTGGAACCTTGAATATCTTTATGTCAACAATGCCGGAGGAGGCGGAAAACGCGTCTTTTGGATCGCGATAGCTGGCAACGAACAGAGCACCGGATGCAACCAAAAATGAGGTTATCTCGAAAGTCAAAGTACGTGCTTGTCCCTTTCCAAGTGTCTTTCAATATGCAACGATATTGGCTACAAGATTCTCGTGGCGCTACGGATTTCACCATGTATAGTTGTTCCTCCCTCCGACGCGAGGTCTTTAACTTTGGCGCCATGTTTCAAGATGCCATCTAAGAACATAGGGTCTGGTTCATGACTTTGGTAAGCGATCATACGCGACGACGTATCGAAACGTAACATCTGACAGAGCGAGGAAATACGAGCATTCAGAAAACAAGAATAAGTATACGGTAGAACCGTCTTTACAGAGATTTCAAACCACAGGCCCCTAGCTCAGCGGCTGTAATCTCTCCAGTCCTCTTTAGCTCCTGGACTCCTGTTTCATCGTCAGCTATAAGCTCACTCAGTGCTGACCTGCTTACCCATGAAGTCCTTTGGTAGAATCCGCTATCGCTCCAAGATCATACAGTCAGCTCAGCGGTTATCTCTCACTTGATGTCCATGTAGGCTTAAGCTGTATGGGTCTTCCGGATCATGACCCATGAAGGGATCATAGGAGGGATCCTTGGAGATTTTCGGTAGTCCAGAATCACCCTGGACTGTTCTCACCTCGATGGTCAGCTCAGCACGCTCGATGTTAGCCTGCTTACCTTCTTGTTTCCGAAAGTCAGCATGCCCGTTCAAGGGTCTGTTGAACAGCGTAATACCTGGCACGATAGCTGTTGTCACCTCAGTGGTCAGCTCAGCGCATCCAATATCAGATTATTGCGTACGATTGTGTTGCGGACTGGGTGGCTCGGGAGTGGGAGATTTGCTGTGGTGGTCCGTCTTTGGGGCTGCTGCCATCGTCATTTCAACGGTCGGCGCAGCGCACCCGATGTTAGCATGCTTACCATTTTGCCCCGCTAGAACGGAGAGCGCGTATCCCACTAGGATCGTAAACCAGCTCAGCAGCTATATAATATCACAGGATATTGGCTTGCTTACCGTCCAGAATGCCCTTACGACTGTTTTCCAATATCATGACACCCAACGAGGTCACCGTATTCCACTTGTTCATCCATTCGTCTTCAGTCTTCTTAAACTCTCTACCGAAATCGTCTGATCCCCACTTCGCAAGGTCAGTCGGAACTCTTTCCCATGTACCGTCGGTGCTCATGCTGAAGATTGAACCATAGATGCGCCCAGCAGACCGTATGCACCCGAAACATGGATACTTGTCACAAGGGGTACTTCCCTGGATCACAAAATGAACCACCATGTATTGAAAGTTCGAAACTGGGTAGTCTTTGCTCGTAAAGGAGGTCAATGTTGCAGTGTTGTGCTCAATACGGGCTCTCGGGGACTTTTCCGGGTTGCCAAGTATCTCCCTAATCATCCTGCCGATCCTATCTCTTGTGGTCTCGGTGAGTCCTTCCGGAACTACTTTGAAGTTCTTAATATCGATAATAGTCACAACATATTTGGGTGGCTAACTGTAGTCGTGAATAAATGAAATGAAAGCTGGCTTGTTAAATCTACCTGCGCAACGTCGTGCGTGGGGGTGGGCATCCCGTGCACGGCAAAGATGAGTACAGAGAAGAAAATGAGCCCCAGGCAATGGACACGCGGGGCCATAAGCATTGAAAATGAGCCGAAGGGTCTTCGGTCGTTCTGTGTGAGTTTGAACTGAGCCAGCAGTTGGGAGAGAATTTGCCCCGCCCGCTGTTTTTATCGTAATTTGTCCAACGTTTCGTGACCATGCGGCTGGAGTTAGCTGGATTTCCGCCCCTTGATTAGCCTCCGAGGTACCGGAGACGTGTGCCTGGCACTTGAACTGGCCGTTCTCTAAGCATTAGTCGAGGTTCTACGAAACCGTAAATAATTTATGACAGGAATGCAGCACTGCAGAAAGAAAATCTGGCACCGATTTTTATAAATCTCTAGCTAGGGCTAAACTTTATTTTACGCTCTTCACCAACGTGGAGTAGCGTCTAGTAGCGTGGAGTCTACACAGCCGTCATCAGCAACTCGGACGCGCGAAGTTGTCAGTTCCAATGTTCCTTTCTTTGGAGGTCACGACTCAAGTACTCACAAATGGCAGGGACTCTTGTTACGGCGGATATACGAATCTGCATATGTCGAAGCTAGATATACTCTCCCTTACTCACTGCCAGACGCCATGTACATACTTGTAAAATTTGATTTTTCCTCTTCTGACATGGGGGCTTCCAGAGGCTGCTCAGAACTGGCTGTTAAGATCATAGAGTTCAATGGCTAATCCTCCAAACTGGCTTGGCCTTACCCTGCGTGTGCGGTATGCCTACATGACCCATGGATCCTCGGATGGTCGATTGTATACCTGGGATGGGGGGCTGATGTCCACTGGAGGAAATGGCTAGGAGCTGAGGATCTACTGTTGTCGCCTCAATGGTCAGCGCTTCAGCTCAGCGCACTCAATGTTAGCCCGCTTACCAGTTTGTTCTTGATACCCGGCCGACTCGTGCTCGTGGATGGCGGGCCAATATCCGCTGAACTTGAACTTGGGGTCTTTCAGCTGAGGATCTACTGTTGTCACCACAATGGTTAGCGTTTCAGCCCAGCGCAACCAATGTTAGCCTGCTTACTATATTGTTCTCGATGTCCGCTTGACTCTGAGCTGGGGGGCAAATGTCCGCTGGAGGGATTGGCCGACTGAGGATCTGCTGTTGTCACCACAATGGTTAGTGTTT